ACTCAGTTTGATCATTTAATACAGCTACAAATCAATATCATTTGTGATGAAATTCACTGAAATGTGGAGATAAAAGATCAAAGAAACCAAAAGTACATGTAAAAATATATTCCGCTCACTCTCCTACGTGTCCTAACTGGTCAAACTGGGTGAAATCCGCATGCGTTTAAGATAAGATTGTCTTGGGGGGAACGCGCAGATAAGATCTTTTGAATAGGACCCCTCGAAATGTCAGGTCTTTTTAAAAAATTTATTTGATGTCATTATCATTAAGCTGTTAAAATTTCATTGAAACTAACTCCATTCTTGTTACATTCATTTAGATGTGCTGCTCTCATTAACTTTCACCCTTGAGTCGCTCAATGAATCAAAGTCAATTTTAAAATTAACTGTCACTTACTTTCACTGAGGTGAAGCTCTGCTCCATCTTTTCATGATCATTTTGCTCTATTTGACTCATCATTATCTTGTTTTAGTAGTGGAATAAACAGTTGTTTCAATATTTTAAGTTTGCTAACTCCGTCTCTGGAATCGGAAAAGGTTCCCACTTGATTCTTGTTGATCGTCAGTGGCCGACGACTAGAATGGCCTATTTAAACAGAGCCAAACCACAAATGTTACGTGTCATGCAGTTTGACCAGCACACCATCCTCGTCAACCCGTACATGAAACGAGGGCTCCAGCCTAAACGTTGGAACCGAATGATGCAATGACGTGCGATCAGGTCTCTATAGATGGCGATGTGTGGCGAGAGTCTGCCGAAGGCAGGCCAGCGTCGCAGGTCAAGGCAGGTGTAAACGCCCGGCGGGGATTGACGGACCTGGTGCGGCATCGCGAAGCCTGTTACGACAAGCCACTGTATGGCGTACACCTACCTTGTTTCATATGTTTTGGAGGGTGCTGGTAACGAAAATAGAATCCATTTCGACCTCTGACCCAGGTTTGAGTCCTAATGGGACAAAAGCTAGCCAGAATTTCAGGGGTGTCAAACCTAAAATATCATTCAGATTTCCCAGCTAACCAACCTTGTCGCCCCGTACTTGAAAGGGGCGCCCTCCAGCATTTAAGTTGGAACCGAAAGATATTACTCCCGCGCGGGAAAATCTGCAGTCTGAATTGTACCCAGGAACTGATGTCACACTATGCTTTTAAGTGAACAAGGAGGGTAGTTGTAGTGTGGCTCAATTATTCTGAAAGTGTTCACAGATGTGCTATTTTGTGTGTAGAATGAAGTATGCATCGGGCATAGTCTAACTGCAGGACCGGCTGCAGTTCGAGTACGGTTAAAATACAGTTTAAGTACACTTAACTGTACTTGAACTGTGCTTGTTTTGACGTGCCACCACGCCTCTTAGTGCGGTAAGAAAGTCTGCCGAAGGCAGGCTAGCGCCGCAGGCCAAGGTTGGTGTTAACGCCAGGCGTGGATTGTCAGAACTGGCGCAGTGTCGCGAAGCGTGTAACGGCAAGCCACTGTCTGGCGTACTCCTAACTTGTATATAGAGACTCTTAAGTAGGGTGTATCATAAATTCTGACCCCCCCCCCCCCCAATTTTATTGGCGAAATGGAGTCTTGGGGATAGCAGAAGACCGTTAACGAGTTGGTTTTGATCAGGAAAAAATTTGAACATATTAGTGGGGGGGGGCCAAAGTTGGGTCTGAAGCTCCAAAATAGAGGTTTTTGGGTGATTTCTCGGGAACTAAATGAGATATCAAAACGGCTGGGGTCTTAAAAGTTGCGGAATTTAATTCTCTTTCGATTGACACTACTGTCAGCTTCGTAAGACAACTCTTTGATGGAGCAACATTGCGATTTATCGGCCCAAAAATGTTCAAAAGTCCCGAAAATGTCATATAACTTTTTTCCCGTTGCTGGTAACCGACTTCCGGATATACCATTCGATTCCTTGTAAAAAAATTATCAAAAAAGGTCAAAACATTTTATAAAGTCCGACTTGTAATTAAAATTTTCTGGGTCATTTAATGTAGAAAAATACAAAAATTTGAATTTTTTTGAAGCTTTGCACAAGACGTAAGCATGCCAGAGTAACGGCTGGGGTCTCAAAAGATGCGGAATTTTATAAGCTTTCGAGCCCAAAACGAGCCCTGTAGGACAACTCCTTCTATAGGAAACATGTGAAAAACTGCCAGAAAAAGCGTCGAAATTTCAGTCTCTGATGAGTTTGCTGGGAGCAGTGCTCTTTTTCAAGTTCTTTTTCAAGCAGTTTTTCACATGTTTCCTATAGAAGGAGTTGTCCTACAGGGCTCGTTCTGGGCTCAAACGAAAGCTTATAAAATTCCGCATCTTTTGAGGCCCCAGCCGTTACTCGGGCATGCTTATATCTTGTGCATAGCTTCAAAACAATTCAAATTTTTGTATTTTTCTACATTAAATGACCCAGAAATTTTTAATTACAAGTTGGAGCTTACAAAATGTATTGACCTTTTTTGATATTTTTTTTACAAGGAATCGAATGGTATATCCGGAAGTCGGTTACCAGCAACGGGAAAAAAGTTATATGACATTTTCGGGACTTTTGAACATTTTTGGGCCGATAAATCACAATGTTGCTCCATCAAAGAGTTGTCTTACGAAGCTGACAGTAGTGTCAATCGAAAGAGAATAAAATTCCGCAACTTTTAAGACCCCAGCCGTTTTGATATCTCATTTAGTTCCCGAGAAATCACCCAAAAACCTCTATTTTGGAGCTTCAGACCCAACTTTGGCCCCCCCACTAATATGTTCAAATTTTTTCCCGATCAAAACCAACTCGTTAACGGTCTTCTACTATCCCCAAGACTCCATTTCGCCAATAAAATTGGGGGTCAGAATTTATGATCCACCCTACTCTTAAGTGTTGAAACCGAGGGGGAAATCACTCGCGTAATAGTCGGGTGACCGATTCCTAGTATTACGCGTAAGAGTAGTAGCGTAATAGCCAAATTTTCAAAGATTTTCTCTATGTAGGGTCCGATTTTAGACTAAATCTGGATATTTTCGAGCGTAATAAGCCTTCTGTAGTAGCGTAATAGAACGTTTTGGGGAGAAGTCGGGTCACAGTTTTTAAGAGCGGTGGTGTCCCCCTCGGTTGAAACCACTTTACTTTCTTCCCTGCGCAGTCACTTATCAAATACAAATCACACACTGAAAACGTAATGGTCGGACACATGGCCAAATTATGGCGTGACAAAAATTCACGCCAAAAATTGGCGTCACACGAAATTCACACCGATACGCGGCGTGACATGTGAGTCGCGCCGTTATTTGGCGTGAATGACAACGCGTTTTAAGAGACAAGTCATGCCTAAAAGCGGCGTGACACGAAATTCACACCAAGAATTGTCGTGAATTTTTGAGTCACGCCGATTTTTGGCGTGACTTTTCTGTTATGCCGTTTTTTGGCGTGACACTTTATTCACGCCCGTGCAGCGGCATGAAGTCACGCCGATAGATTTTCAGTGCAAAGATTTGAACAGTTTAACTCGACAGAATGGCTTCAGGGAGAGGCCTTGACTTAACACTCTTGTACTTTAGTGGTGCACTGCTGCTTTTACAGTACAATTCCAATAGAGTATTCTAGTCGTCGCCGACCGAAGAACAAGAAGAAGAACAAAGCCGGAACTGGCGACGGCAACATAACTTCCCAGACTTTTATGAGTCGACTTGTTTCTGAGTTTTCTGTGGCGTATCTACTTCAAAAGCACTTTTGTTTGATTCAAACACTTTTTGACACAGGAAATATAAATATTTGTCGACATATCACGTTGGAACCGGCCTGATACCTTCTCCGTTTCCGCCCGGCTTCCGGTTTTGTTCTTCTTGTTGTTTCTAGATCGGCGACGACTGGAATGCTCCATTGTCACACACAATTTCTTTGTGTGTATACTGTACAGTCGTCCTACGGATCTACGGAAAAGACGGTACGGTCCTTCCGAGAATATTGATAAGAGGGCTACGGAGAATCTTGGTCAAATATTAACAGAACTCTCCGTACTTTTTTACTACCGTGGCCGTACTGCATTTTATCTATTATCCACGATTCCTGTGCGTGTTAAGTTTGATAAGTTGGTGTTGCAGTGTTGGTTTCGAAGTGTTCCATTAATACTTGAATTTTGAGGGAAGAGAAAGAGATTACAATGGCAGAGCCATACCAGTGCGCGTCCTACAGGAGGGCCCTTAAGGATATCCCTGATGCTATAATAGACCTTGTATATCTCGACGATGTTGAAGCGGGCATGGTTTTTGGTGCTCCCCGCCGGACATGTACCTTCATGGACGAAGGACGTGTAAAGAATCATCCGTTGTATCCACCGTTGCTGTATGCCTCAACTTTGGGTTGGCGCTTCAGGATGCCAGGCCTCTAAGTGTTGCATGTACCTGGCACCGGCTACGGGCCGTTCTTCAAAGATGCAAGGTAAATTAACTCGACAGCAAGTAGCTTTAATGATTCGGCGTTGAGGTTAGGCCTCAATTCCATTGCGGAGAGCGCAGTGTAGTCCCCGCCCCCGAGTTTCATCAATGATAGATATCTATTGAGGTGTTGATATTTAACGAGAACATTTGTAGTTCATTTCTCTTTCCCAGTCTGTATTAATAGTGAACTGCTATGTACTGACTTCCCGTATGACACGACCATGTTTCTTAATAGTTCATTACATGTACTTGATCAACTTTTACAATCAAGTGCAAGTTTCTGCATGATCCACTGACAATATTATCTCAAAAACGATCCAAACTGTGCACAGTTTAAGGGAAAATGGCACATTTTACATCTGCTCAAAAAACTTTATGAGCCAGAGACTAAAAAGTCCACATGGGTCTGAGAATATGAGGGTCTGAGTGTATGGAGTACACTGGTCACGACTTTTGTGATTGGCTCAGCTAATTTGGTGCATGTCATGTTCCTACTAACGTCATGGTCAGAATATCGTGTCAGCCACGATCGTTCCCGACGGCTCGTGTACGTACGTGGCACGCAAGATGGCTTATATAAGTGCGGGTACGTCCCCCTCGCACACGTATGTACGTCAAGAGGACATCTGGAGCAACGATGACGCCGACAGTCGCACGTTTCAGCCTCCTTTCCGTAGTCTTGCTCACGGCACTACGGGCGGGATTGCCCACTAATGTCAGGTATCGAGCTACCACTACGCGCTCAACGTCACGCTATTAGGTGGTTTGCATCAAAACGTACATCATTTGTCCCTCACTCCCAATGTCCTGCTGAAAAATGCCGTGCAGTCATAATACTTAGCCAATTCTCAGTACTGTACGACACAAATCTGTCATGAGACAATGAAATTTGTTCGTAATATGAAGAAAGCGGTCACAAGTTACTAAAAACTCTTCACCATAGGTGCTGCGCAGTCATAATACCAACCTTTTTGTTCGTGTTACGAAGGAAAAGCTCAGTAGGATATTGAGAGTGCTCTCTTTTTTTCTGGCCCTCCAGCTGCTGATTTGTTTACGAAAATGGAGGGCCGCAAGAAGGGTATAAAAGTGAGGGACAAAAATTTGGGCATAATTGCTGGTAGAATGGGTGCCGATACATAAGGAAAAATCTTCTTAGACAATAAAAAGACCACTATTTTCTCTTAAAATAAAAGAAAACAGCGGAGACGAAACTTACGAGTTGATAAATAAGTAAGATGTGAGCCTTTTTAACTGCGAATTGGGCCAAGGGACAGTTAAGGAATAAAGAATTTGCGGTTTCTTTAAATAGTTTTCTGGCATGCCAGGGACCTAATTAGGTTGTTTTTTAAGTGACAGCCTAAGTGACGAAAACACCAACCCATCAAGAGCATTTGTAACCTTAGTCAAAAATCCTCCTCTGCGGCTGTACGGAGCCAAGAAGGCAAGAACAGATGAAACTGTGAGGAAAAATCTCATTCAACGAACGTTAATAAAAGCAGATGATACACGTTTGGTTTTCCTCTACGCGGTAGTAGGGGCTCATGAGTATTTAAAATTTTGTATTAAATAAATTATAAAGACCAATGAAGTCTGTGTCTTCGGTTTTCTTCTATGGGGTTGTATGGGCTTATTTAGTAAGTACAAGCCAGTACAAGCCTTCCTTCAATGATAAATACGTACTTTTTTAGTTTTTTTAGTGTTCTACGTATAAAATGATAGTTTTAAGGTTGATTGATGCTGTTAATATGAGGCGCTATAATTGATCTCCCCCCATCTCCGCCCATATTGAGACCTATTTGCTGCTGTGATGACATGCAGCCCGTTTGCTGCTGTTCATAGTGTTTTTCTATAACTTAAGCTTTTATCGTTTCTGATTATTTTTATCAAGCAAGTTCAAGTCAGTACTTGGTAATGTGAAGCCTCCCTTCGATGCTTAATACTTACTTTTTTTAGTTTTTGTGTGTTATTTCTTAAATAATGTCGAATGTGAGTACTGATGGTTGATGGTTGAATGATTTCAATAAACGTTTCTTCAAATTTTTTTGATTATTAAACCAGTCTCCACGAAAGTTACAAAAGTCTCGAAACACGAGCCGACACTTGTTTGGATATGCTCACAGATGCACAAGAATTAAATTACAGTTACTACCTAACTGAAGTCTTCCAACTGGAGTTGCAGCACTTCAGCTTCTTGGAGCATTACAGAGAATGTTGATTCAGAGGATGAGTTGAGTAAGCTGGAGAGAATCAGGGTTCTTCGTAGTAAGTCCAGGTCTGAGAGCCACTGCGATTGAAATTAGATGCACAGACAATTCAGCCCAGTATGAGGGGGGAGAATTTCAATACTTTTCTTCGAACAGATTGTGTTGCCTATACTTAGCTGGAGAATTATCCGTGCCGTTTGTGACTCCAAAATCAGTTTGCCTTTAAGCATTTACAGAGAAACATGGAAAAAGGTACAACTTACTCTAAACTCCGTAACGCGTGCGGACCCCTACAGTGTTTATGATGAAACTTGCTACACCCCCGGAAGTGTTCGGCACCTTGAGTCAACATCACACAAAATTGTAAAAAGAAATGTTTTTGGCATGCAAGTGACCGTGACGTATAGTCAGTCGCGATTATAAACTCCGTAACACTTAGTCAATTTTCTGCAAATTCCCATTTAAAATACATAGGAATTTTGCATATTTTGAAAGTCAAGATTACGCGTTGCATGCTTAAGGATTTCTTTTGTAGGCGGGCTGAAACAAAAATTTGCCAGTGAAAGGTAACTATATTCTCACGGAATGTGGGGTGAAAATGTATGTTTCGATGCAAACCATCATATTAGTGCGGACAGTCACACTAAGAGGTTCTGTACCCGTTTGCTACTACTCTACGAACTCAAGTGTGTACGTCATAGTACACTCCACCTGGAGTGTACATGCATGTACACTCCAACCTGGAGTGTACTTGGCATGAACACTCAAGGTTGGCGTGTACTTGCCAAGTACATACCAGGTGGCGCATACCTGCAGCAGGGAGCCAGCAACAGTGTACCTGAAGGTATGCGCCACCTGGCGTGTACTTGGCAAGTACACGCCAATCTGGAGTGTACATGCCAAGTACACTCCAGGTTGAAGTGTGCATGCATGTACACTCCAGGTGGGCATGTACACTCCAGGTGGAGTGTACTATGTACACACTTGAGTTTGTAGATTATGCGTTAGGGCTTTTTAAGGTGTGGAGATGCCAGTGCGGTTTCTCGTATTTTTAGTGTAGATGAATGCTCACATGGTTGGATAGGCCACTCAGACCTTTATTTGCTAGAAAACAGAAACGAGTGCAATGCTTCAAGGGCGCACCTTCTCATGCCAATGTGCCGCTTTTTGTCGCAGGCGTGCTGTTGCAGCAGGACAAGTTACCTTCACCGAGTATATGTCATACACAGAGGTAATTCATTCATATCATTATGTAACCACTTTCTCTGTCTTCATCGGTAAACGCTGATGTTGCGAGCGAATTGTGACAAGCACTGTATAAATATAATGTTCGGAACAAAGGACGGATCCTTCGGCAAAAGAAATTGCCGACTGTTCCTTTGTTAACTTACGAAACTCATCGTAAATTTACAAGAACCTCCTGTCATGTAAGGGTTGATCGGGTCGGCAAGGTCAACCCAGTTGCTGGCGTTGCGTTGGTGGTCGGGCCCAAATGGCCCGCGTCTGCGTAACCGACACTAGGCGCGTCGGGGTATCGACGCGTGAAATAATGTCTCTGCTCGACACGGGTATCTACCGGTACCCAGTGCGCGTCACGGGGTGGCATGCTAGTTGGCACACTTGTCTTGCTCGCGGGGTATCGCCAGGGGCGTAGCCCAGACGGTCTGTGAACTATTCCGGGTTAACTGGTGCTCGCACTATTTCACTGTCACTGCACTGGTCACTCGCGTCTCGGTCAAGCTTTACGTGTTCTACGGGTTCGTAAGGGATGAAATGACGACAAGAGGAAGTCAATCGGTGATCACTCGAACACACTAGTCACTTTCACGACGGAATTCGCGAGGAGGTCTAGGTCTGTCTCGTCTCGATGTTGGCTGAATACTGACCGAGGGGGCGCACGTGCCTAATCTACAAGCCTCCTCTAACCAGAGGTACGCCTCCGGTCATTTGATCCAGGAAGCGGAAGAAGGGGATAACTCAATTTTGGCCATTTTCCAGGAGAAACCAAAAACTTTTAGCAGGGTAAACTAAAACGAAACAAATGAATGTTGCAGATGTTAATAATTTTAAAAAGCATTGGTAAAATTTAAAAAAAAAAAAACAACAAAAGTGTAAGGTCACTCCGTAGAGGATTTCTGCAACTTATCACTTTCCGTTGAAATGGAAAACAGAGTCAGCTCACCTTATATTTCCTAAACAAAAAGGAATTTGGAGACAAGTCAAGTGGAACAATAGTCTGCATAAAGTGTATGTTACTCTCGTGTATTTTTTGAACTTAGCTCTTTTTTCCAAATTGAAATTTAAAATTTAGGGGGGGTTAAGTTGAGTTGATTCCTTTTACACTAGATTCACAAAAATACAAGTTGAGTTATATCATTTTGCCAATTTGTCAAACGGACTCATGTGGACTCCCGTTGAGTTATCTCCAGTTTCCAATGAAATTTAGACCGTAAAAGGGGTTAAGTCGAGTTATACCCTTTTTCCATGTGGATTTTCTCCTAAACTGCTTGGAATTCAGTCAAATAATTTGGTGTAATGATGGAAACCATTCTACGGCACAATAATAAAATAAAAACTCAATTTAGGGATAAGTCAAGTTATTCCCTTCTTCCGCTTCCTGGATCATTTATCCGGGGCCTATCGCTCAATGGTCTAGCTCTAAGGGAGGGTGGGGTACCATGACCACTTTTTTTTTAATGCCTCCCTCTACTCCACCGTGTGGTTCGAAAAGTTAAGTTTCCAGCATGAGGGGATTCATTGGACCTCTAAGGACCTCTTCCACCCATTGGAACTTGTCTGCAATGCACGGCAGGCTCACAGAACACTTTGGAAAATAAAACGCAAAGTGGTCATGGCGCCCCACCTATGGGGTACCATGACCACCCCGTGGGGCACCATGACCATAGTAATTTTTTGGCCCAAAAAAGTGTACTTTCTACCAGTATTCTCATTGAAATTGTTTTTATCGCTGTCATCAGGCCAGTCAACTTAACTAAAAAACACTGTAAAAACCTTCGAAGTATCAAACGTTCTAAAATGCCTTAAAATGGACGGTTTAAAACAGTTAACGCTCTGAGGCTTTCAAATTTCAAATCCAAAGCTATGACATGTGTTAACATTTTATGTTTGTCTTGCTAAGACGAATCCAAATTCGTATGCAGATTTCAATTTGGTAAATTTTAAGAAAATTATCGCGGTTACTATACTGCAAAAAAGTGAATTAAATGCTGTTTCTCTTCATGCCAGAGCCATCCTGGTGCAAAGTAGCCACGGATCGCCTTCGCGGCCAACTTTTTCGGTTTGGAGCTCATTTAGTGCAAGAGAAACTACCATTTCAAGTCTCAGTTTCAGAACCATTCTCAATCATCCTGGTGATTCACGATTTGTGGTAAAACTATCTATTCGGCAGCAATTATTCAACCTTTATACATTTTCAGAAGCAAAAAGCAAATTTTCGACGAAAATAAATCATTATCAGGCCAAAATATGAGAAAAAACACTCAAAAATGTATGGTCATGGTGCCCCACTAAAAAGTGTTCATGGCTCCCCACAATGCAGTTTACGACTCAAAGGCTCCCCGAGCAAGCAAAGAGCTACTTAGAATTAAATGTGATGTTGGATATTTTGCCGGAGAGCCGACATTTTGAGAAAAACCTAAGACATCGAACTTATCTCCTCAAATGTGAGAGTGAGAAAAAATATCTCAGATTTGAAAAACGCCCAATTTAGCCAAAACGCTGTAACAAAAATTTCGGCGAGGTGCTATGGTCGTACCCTTGAAGCTAGAAGGTAGGGCTCTGGCTGAAAATAGTTAGAATTCTATTCTCTCGAAAGTCCGGTCGACCGGTTGCCGTCGGCAAAGTAGTTCCCGAGAGCGAGGGGGGTGGTCATGGTGCCCCAGTGGTCATGGTGCCCCACCCTCCCTTACCGGCCAACGCCTGATTAGTAGGCAGCCCATCCGCCAGCCGCGACAGTTGGCTGGCAGTTTAGTCGGCGCGACGCAGTAGATTGTTTACTGCCCAGGCACGCACTCCAGATAGAGCGCCACCTAGCGTAGCAGCGTGACTGAGCATCACAGAGGCGCTGACCTGAATGAACCGGTCTGCGGGTCTGTGATACTCCGTAAATTCGTGTAAGGACCTCCGTCGATTTTACAAGCACAATGGAAATTTACGATGCACCTTCATAAATCTACAAAGATCCTCCGCAAGTTTAGAAGGAACCTTCGTTGATATACAAATAAAAAGAACCTGGAATTAACAACGGGCCCTTCGGCAAAAAAATTGCCAACAGATCCTTCGTTTGTCTGACTTAAAATTATGAAGGCCCGTCGTAGATTAACAAAGCTCGTCGTAAATTTACAACAGACTTTGTATTTGCGAATTTTCTTCGTAAATTTACTAGGAACCTGCGTAAATTAACGACGAACTTCCGTTGATTTACAATAAATACTGTAGGAAAGAAACATTTTTTGTACAAAATTGTGTGAAAATTTCGTGTGCACAAAAATCCGTGATGTCTCGTAAAAAATTTGTACAAAAACATTTAGTGTGAACAACTTTTGGAAAATAATCCGTCGTTAATTCACAACAAATTATTTACAGTGCAGAAATCTTGCACATACCCACTCATTCCCACATTCATTGTACACAAAATCTTTAAGTGGGTCGCCCCTCGCTTGTGACGCCTACACTGTAAAAAATATGTTGTGAATTTACGACGGAATATTTTCCGAAGGGTTTTTGGGAATGTCCAAAAGTGCACTGTAAATGTTTCTTTCCTACGGGAACTTTTGTAAGTCAACGTAGGTTCGTCGTTAATTTACGAAGGTTCTTTGTAAATTTACGAAGAAAAATCGTAAATTTACAAAATTTGTTGCAAATTTACGAAAAGCTTCGTAAATTTACGACGGGCTTCGTTAATCTACGACGGGTCTTCGTAAATCTACAGCGGACCTTCGTAAATAGGGATGCAAAAATACCGGTAAGATTCAAAGTTACGTAAAATACGGTAAAATACGGTATTTTACCGTATTGTACGGTAAAATTGGGTAAAATTGATTTTTCTTGACTTTAAGGGGTAATTCTGGTACCTCTCGTGAAAATAGGGGGGAAAAAGGTACGTTTGGGTGAGGGTGTATCGGTAAAATCGTTTCATACATACTTCCAAGCCAACATGACTTAAGAACAATGAAGCATTTTGAAAGACAAGGACCAAACACTGTGTGGGTTAAAGATATGAACTATTATCTGACTTACTGACCCCTCCCCCTAATGTCTGAGGACTTTCCCTTTTTGTAAATAAATTTTGATTCTGCCTGGTTCTTTTGACCGTAAATTAACAGCCCAAATATACTGAAGTGCAAAAATGTTGCCTTTTTTATCGTTGTCCATGTAAGTTGGCTAAATTTCATGAAAACTCTTTTTCCTGAAAGGCATCGGCGACCCCATGGTGTCCAATCATGTCAATGTTTATTGAATTTTTCAGCTCGAATAACTAACAAGTATCTACCCCTATTTCTTTCTATTTTCTGTTTAAAGTTAGTTTACATTATACTTATCTTGGCAACAAAGAAGTTTCTGGTTTGGCTCGTGTAGTTAAATTTTAGTTTCCACAAGTTTTGCAAAAGAAGAGAACATTGACTTCTTGCTTTGTTTTAAGTGCCCAGAGATGATGTCTTACACGTACATGGGGCAGCGCGAGGGGCAGATACAAACCAAGAGTTCCCAAGAGGCGCTGTTTTCAGTCCCTACGTCCTAATTCGTCGTGTGGAAGCAAAAGAAGGGCAAATAAGTCAATATTTCAAAATTACCGAAAAATACCAATTTTACCGGGGTCTCCGTAAAATACCGTATTTTACCGTATTATACCGTTATTTACCGGTAATATTACCGGCCTTTACATCCCTATTCGTAAATAAACGAAGGAAGTAATGGCAATTTTTTTGCCGAAGGATCCGTCGTTAATTCCGGACGTATAATTACGAAGAATCTCTGTATATTAACGAAGGTTCTTTGTTTATAAACGAAGGTTCCCTGTAAATTTACGAAGGATCTTTGTAGATTTACGAAGGTAATGCGTAAATTTCCATTGTGATTGTAAAATCGGGAGAGATCTTTCAAAAATTAACGAAGGTTTTTGTAAATATACGAAGAGCTTCGTAAATTAACGAAGGGACCGTTGGCAATTTTTTTGCCGAAGGGTCCGTCGTTTATTCCGGATATTAATTTTTACAGTGTAACCTCTGGTTAGGTTGTGGCGTACCTGCGCGCCCTGAAGGAGCGCTACCCCAAGCTGGTGACGGTGGGCAGCGTGGGCCGGTCCGTGGAGGGCCGAGAGATCTACTACGCGCGCGTGTCGTCTGGCGGCGCCAACAACCCCATCATGCTGGTGGACGCGTTGATGCACGCCCGCGAGTGGATCACGCTTCCGCCTGTGCTGTACTTCCTGGAGACCCTGGTGCAGGACGCCACACTGCGGGCCGGCCTGGACGTGGTCGTCGTGCCCATTCTGAACCCGGACGGCTACGAGTACTCCAGGACGAAGGTACGATCTTGTTGCAACGAAATTTTCCCGGAAAGTACGAGTACACTGAAAATTTTAAGTTTTCACACTTCGACCCGAAGGAGAATTCACTGAGGTTTATTTGGATGAGAAATGGAAAAGATATTGAATTTCTGAAGTGACGAATGGTTCTTTTTGGCACTTTTAGCACTTTCAATCCAAAAACTCTTTCATTGTGCATCCAAACCCATGACATGTGTTCACCATTTTTGTTCGTCATGTCGAAACCAGTACATTTCTGTAGAGCAAAGTCAATTTTGACAATTTTGAAAATTTACTAATATTCTGCAAACTGAAGTGTGTACATAGTACACTCTTATTAGAGCATGCTTCCAAGTACACACTTATTTAGCGTGTACTTGCCAGGCACACGCTAAAATAGCGAGTGCCTGGCAAGTACCCAAGTACCCGCGAAATAAGTGTGTACCTTGCTAGTACACGCTAAAGTACACTCGATTAGTCCTATCTAAAAGCATGGGCCTGTTAAAGTGTACTTACAAGGTACACTCTTATTTAGCGTGTACATGCAATGTGCACTTTATTTTAGCGTGTGCCCAGCAAGTATGCTGTAAATAAGAGTGTACTTGGAGGCATGCTCTAATAAGAGTGTACTACACACTTCAGTTTGAAGAGTACCCTTTTGTCGCGCGAGCGCCCCTATTTCCAAAATGAGACGCAAGAAGCGCCACTGCTCGCATCTTCGAAAGAATTCCTTCGCAGTATTGAAAAAAAGTCTTAGCGTGTAAGGGAGTATGGGGCGATTTGTAACAGATTTCGGAATTCTCTATACAAAATTAAGAACATTCTGCATATCGGTGTCAAACTTGTGCCAGTTGAGCAGTTTGGCCCTTCATCTAGACTGTGCAGCTCCATTGGATCAATCTGGAGTCCGTAATCTTTGAAATCTAAGACGTTTTCCAAACCCTTGCATGCTGTTACGAATCGCCCCAGCATGGGGTGATTTGTAACAGCCATGGGGCTTTTCATAACATCCTACACATTAAATGAAACATCGTCGGGAATGATATCTCCTCCATCAGTTGTTCTTCGGGTGTCCTGCAGACGTCTAAAAATCTACATTACAAGCTGCCGTTGACCGCCTCAGCATTAACTGATCGGCTATGTCAATCCTAACCTCACTTTTTTCAATTTTCGATGAAAGAATAGAATAACTCGCTTTAAAATGCATTTCGAGCTGTGTAAATGAATTGGAATAAGGCAGCTGATGATTCGAGAAATAATTCAAGCATTTAATTGCAAAAACTACTTAAATTCTTGTTTTTATACGGGTCTGTTACGAATCACCCCAAATGCCTGTTACACAAGAAATACGTGCCTAACTATCACTGGACAAATTAAAAGCAACTTATGCCACGTGGTTACATTGTAAAGGGGTCACGCTTCAAGGCCCCAACGGTACTTCGATGGTGATTCATACCTGGGGAGCCTCAGACAGAAACTTCCTAGAACTCAAAATAAAAGATTTTTCCTGTTTGCAGAAATTTCGGTTTACCATATATTTCAGACGCCCTCCAAAACTATACCTGAGCACCGATCACATCCGCTTCGATTGTTCAAGGACCCTGTACTTGAAGCGAAAGAGGGGCCATACTCAGATTTTCCTCTGCTCCCTCCACATAAATTAATAAACGCATTTGTTACGAATCGCCCCTGTTACAAATCGCCCCATACTCCCTTACTCTTTCTGCGAAGGACCGCCTGTGGCGTAAAAATCGCGGTGCTACCAGCAACAAGACCTGCGTTGGAGTTGACCTCAACCGTAACTTCGACTACCACTGGGCTGGTGAGTTGGAGAACGGGCCACGTAATCTAGGGCACAATGTAGTCAAAATGCGTGCCAAAACATAATTTACCATCGAATTTTGGGGCTCAGCACTACAATGTTTTTCGTTGCAATTTGAGATATGTCCAAGTGAAATCGGTGCAAGCTTAAGAGGCAATAATCACTCATAAGACGTTTTTTTTAGTATTTATGCAGAATTTTCGGTAAAATAAAATTTTTGTTCTAAAATACGAAGAAAAACTACCTTTGCACACTCAAAAAGTCTTCCGAAGAAAACAAATACCATTTCTTTTTAATACAAATAATTTTGTGTTTTATTACATGTGTCCCATACCAAAACAGTAGGGACAGCTCGCGCGTTCAAAAATTTAATTGAGCCTAGGAGTAGAGAGTACCTATATCATCTTGGGCCGCTTATGTTTTTTTTTTTTTTTTAATTTCCAGACTTTAGGTCGAACAACGGGGCGAGCAGTGACCCATGCGAGCTGACTTATGCTGGTCCGAAGGCTGCGTCCGAGCCAGAGACAATCAGTTACCAGAATTTCGTCCGCAATCTGAACGCGGGAAAGAGAGTCAAGATGTACGTCAACCTACACAATCCGGAGCAGGTCAGCGTAACATTAACATTTGTGAGGTATTTGTGACGAAAACAATAGTTACCGTTTGCACTGCTCTTTCTTTTGATGCCACAGTCGATCTACATTCCGTGGGGCTACTCTTCGACGGCTCCGAAGGTGCCGGATACCGCGCAATTGGTACTGTACAATTCATTGTTTTCACGTTAGACATGCAACAACTCACTCAAAGTGTCTTACAATAAAATCTGTGCTATGTTTGAGTGAACTCTTCAAATGATGACAATCTCGTCAAAAATTGGTGACATTTTCATCAAATCTCTCCCGGTTTTCTCAGGAACTCCCTGTCTTTACTATCTGCTACCTGTGAAAACCAGGAACTGTTTTTGTTCTGTATATACATGAAGACACGCTCTAATATGGACGCACCTGATTTTTGTGTAATTCAGACGACAATCGCCAAAGAAGCTAACAGCGCCCTTGTCGCTGCCGGTGCCAGAGCCTTCACAGTCGAAACCATGGCAGCCGACTGTAAGTAACCTTCTCTCAGACGCCACTCACGGTCATAAAAGTTTCTTGTTTTCCCAAGAACTCCCTGGAAATCACCTACATCGTAACTAGAAAACCAGTTTTTAAGCGGTCTTGCTACCGCTTCTAGCTCTGCATCCGATCCCACTCATCCCATCCCATCCATCCATCCATTCAGCGCGCTCGGAGGGGACTGCATGGCCGTGTTGGTCGTCGTCTGTCGTCGTCCTGCGCCGCCACGCCGCGCCGCCGCGCCAGTCCCCACTCCTCACAGCTACCCCCTCCCTCCTTGCCCCCTCACTGCCCGGCCTCCTCTGCCGGTCCACGGCAAGACCGCTTTGCTAAGCTTGCCTTGGCGGAACTTTTTAAGCGGTCTTGCTACCGCTTCTAGCTCTGCATACGATCCCACTCATCCCATCCATCCACCCATCCATCCATTCAGCGCGCTCGGAGGGGACTGCATGGTCGTGGTTCGTCTGTCGTCGTCGCCTGCGCCGCCACGCCGCCGCGCCGCGCCAGTCCCCACTCCTCACAGCCACCCCCTCCCTCCTTGCCCCCTCTCTGCCCGGCTTCCCCGGCCGGTCCACGGCAAGACCGCTTTGCTAAGCTTGCCTTGGCGGAACTTTTTTTTTTTATCGTGCTGATAACTGGGGTATAGTTAAAGAAAATATTGAGGCAACTTGATTCACATGTGAATTGGAGGTTTGGTACCAATAATTACCTGCAATTGGCACCAATAACCTCCAATTTGGTCATTGGGTTTATCAGTTAAACACGTTCACTTTCCTCGACGATAGCGTCTTTCGACGTAAACCTGAACAGGCATGATTCTTCAAATGAAACGAGAATAATATGTTACTGCATAAATTAAAATTAGACTTCTGTAACCTCAATGTTACCTCAAATATGTCATACCGTAAATGCGGGTATTACGGACCACTAGTCGGTAATGTGGACCACCCAATAAATTCGTCTGTCTGATAAGTGATGTCTCGTAGCGGAGTCTTCTAAAACCGTTTCTGCCACCCGCATCCTCCGAGCTTGCTCGAACCGATCATAGAGAAAAAGTCGAGGGGTGGTCCACATTACCCACTGGTGGTCCATAGTACCCGCTTTTACGGTACGTGACCTCAGTTTGCGTTCATGAAAGGCAAGTCACAATGTTCGCTGTTCTGTTTCGGGGCAGATCCTGCGACAGGCACGGTGTCCGACTGGGTGCGTGGCGTGGCCGGAGTGGCACAGTCGTTCTGCATGGAGCTGCCGGCAGGAGGGCCCGACAAGCAACAAGGTTTCGCCGTGCCGCCATCCAGCATCCTTCCAATTTCAAAGGAGGTGCTGGGAGCGATGAAAGTTTTTGTCAAGTACACCACAAAGCCGCTGTCACAGTGATGAGAACGGTGGTCTAGCTACGCTCAAAGCACCTGATGTTGATGTCAATTATACTGTCCTGATTAAAGATTAAGTTTATCAAAGGCCTTACCCTTTTTCAATGCCATTAGAGATGCCTTCAGCACCGGATTATTGGCTTGGAAATGAGTACTTTATAAGTACTCTTGACATTAGGAGCTCAACTCCCTCCTTGCACACAGGCAACAGGCAATATGGGTTCTTCTCATATCTTGCCTGAACCTGTGTGGGCACTGAATCAGTTGCATGTTCGGGGTTCAAAGAAAAACAAACAGCAGAATGCAGTGAAATACGAGGCAGTAGCACAGAATATGTGCAGTTTTTGGCATAAACAATATACGAAAAGTTCGTGTGCAGTAGAAACGATGATGTCCCTACATTCAATTCAGTGTGTAAGGTGACACCAAATTTTCAGTGTGTAGGCAAGCCCATGTGCCTCTAACAAGGGAATGTTTTCAAACGTCATTACGAGCCGATTGCTCCCATACTTCGGGATCTTTAAAGGCACCACAAAAAAGAATTTTCAGCACCCACAGTTCGTGCTGAAAGTCACTACAACGTCTCCAAGTGAAAGTTGAAAATTGACCAATTTTCATGAAAATGTCCCAAAACTGAATTGTACCAAAACTCAATTTTTTCAAGTGGTCTGAAACGTCCAAAATTATGATTTTCTTCTATTTTGGAGCAAAAAATTATATGTCCCGTCAAAAGTAAAAAAAAACTTCAAAAAGAAAAATTAAATCAAGTTTTTGACCAATAAGTCGTTTTAGTGACTTTCAGCACGAACTGTGGGTGCCAAAAATTCTTTCATGAGGTGACCTTGAAGATCCCGAGGTATGTGAGCAATCGGCTACTGACACCTGAAAATGTTCCCTTGTAAGCAAGCTATCTGTCTACAATTTCACCACTGCAATGTGGATGGAAAGACTTCGCGCCAAAATATGGCGAGAACTAAAAGTCTCGCCAAGTGTAGGTCAGATCTTAGAGTCTCGCCAAAATTTGGTCAGACAGAAAAGTCTCGCCACAAAACGGTCAGACGCTAAAGTCTGACAACAAAATGGCGACACTTTTGTGTCTGACCGCAACCTAAAGGCCGTAATGCGCCGGACGGTTACGGCCTTAAGGCCGTGGTCAGACACAAAAGTCTCGCCATTTTGTGGTCAGACTTTTGTGTCTGACCGTTTGGTGGCGAGACTTTTTTGTCTGACCAAATTTTGGGCGAGACTCTGAGATCTGACCAAAACCTGGCGAGACTTTTATGTCTTGCCTCTGGAGTGGCGAGAAGTCTGACCTTTGGATTTGCAGTGACCATTTTTGATATGGGACCCAAGTTGGGTGTCTGCAATCTGTGGAATGAAATACAGGCAAAAAAAAAGCTCAAGTGAAGTTGCTTCTAGTGTTTTTGCTTTTATTGAAGAAAAGAGTAAACTTGGTGTCAAGGAGTTCCGATTCTATTCAGACAACCCATCTTCACAGAACAAAAACAGTTTTGTTTTTGCTATTTTCTTGGTAGCCAGTGCCAAGTTTGATGTCAAGATTCTCCACCGTTTCTTAGAAGTTGAGCGAGTTGAGCATACACATATGGAAGTAGATTCTATGCATGCTACCATTGAGAAAGCAGTTGACAAGAAAGAAATATTTGATCTTAAGGGAGTATGGGGCGATTTGTAACAGGGGCGATTTGTAACAGGGGCGAATCGTAACAAATGCGTTTATTAATTTAAGTGGAGGGAGCAGAGGAAAATCTGAGTATGGCCCCTCTTTCGCTTCAAGTACAGGGTCCTTGAACAATCGAAGCGGATGTGATCGGTGCTCAGGTATAGTTTTGGAGGGGGTCTGAAATATAGGGTACACCGAAATTTCGGCAAACAGCGAGGGGGCCACCACCCCCGTAATCCTGTGTACAAATTGGCTGGTAATCCATGGCGTAATCACGTAATCCTTGACAAAATTCTGTCATTTTTCAACGTTTTTAGTCATTTTTCAACGTTTCTGAGCTATTTTTCAACGGTTTCGAACCAATTTTCGAAAATTTCACGCGTAATCCCTGGTAAATATCCCGTAATCCCGTAATCTCGTGTACGCCTGAAATGAGAGTGGTGGCCCCCTCGGCAAACAGGCAAATCTTTTATTTTGAGTTCTAGGAAGTTTCTGTCTGAGGCTCCCCAAGTATGAATCACCATCGAAGTACCGTTGGGGCCTTGAAGCGTGACCTCTTTACAATGTAAACACGTGGCATAAGTTGCTTTTACTTTGTCCAGTGATAGTTAGGGACGGATTTCTTGCGTAACAGGCATTTGGGGTGATTCGTAACAGACCCGTATAAAAACAAGAATTTGAGTAGTTTTTGCCGTTAAATGCTTGAATTATTTCTCGAATCATCTGCTGTTTTATTCCAATACATTTACACAGCTCGAAATGCATTTTAAAGCGAGTTATTCTATGATTTCCTCTAAAATTGAAAAAAGTGAGGTTAGGATTGACAAAGCCTATCAGTTAATGCTGAGGCGGTCAACGGCAGCTTGTAATGTAGATTTTTAGACGTCTGCAGGACACCCGAAGAACAACTGGTGGAGGAGATATCATTCCCGACGATGTTTCATTTAATGTGTAGGATGTTATGAAAAGCCCCATGGCTGTTACCTATCACCCCATGCTGGGGCGATTCGTAACAGCATGCAAGGGTTTGGAAAGCGTCTTAGATTTCAAAGATTACGGACTCCAGATTGATCCAATGGAGCTGCACAGTCTAGATGAAGGGCCAGACTGCTCGACTGGCACAAGTTTGACACCGATATGCAGAATGTTCTTAATTTTGTATAGAAAATTCCGAAATCTGTTACAAATCGCCCCATACTCCCTTTATAAGTGGTACATAATGAGTAGCGGCGAGGCAGAAGCTGCGCCCCGCCCGCTGCCACTTTCCCTCACGTCCCCTGCATCGTGCATCAGGAGGCTTTGAGCGCCGCGTCGTTGCCCGCAGACGACGTCATGGACGCTGTGACCAAGGCCGTCAACAAGGGCGCAGGGCTTGAATATCAAAGCCAGTGTTCAAAGCCCTTCACGAGGAAGTAGGGAGAGACTACTCAGACATTCCCTACTACAACAAGACCAGGTGCATCAGTTATGAGGGCGTTTTTTGATTTACAAAACGTAATTGGAGATTTCCTTAAAACAAAACTTCCCGTGCCGCAATTGAGTGACACCACGTGGGTTGCCAAGCAGGCTTTTCTTGCTGACATAACTGCCCACTTAAATGATCTTAACAAGAAACTGCAGGGCAAGGACAATCTGATGTCAAACATGTTTCGAGACGTTGAGGTTTTTGAGACGCGTCTAACTATTTGAGGCCCAACTGCAATAATGCGGAAAACTCACTCACTTTCCTTGCCCTAAGTCGCTAGAAAGTGTGCTAACTGAACAATAACTGGGAAAATTCCGAAAAATTGTTGCCTATTTGAAATTGGAATTCAAGTAGCTTTCCAGTATTTCACAACAAAGCAACACAAATTGGCATTCTTAGGCACGAAGTAGCATCATAGTATCCCCAGGATTCAGCCGGCGCGAGATTCAATAAGCCCCCAATGTATTTTGGAAATTTTCTATAGCTTTTTAATGAGATTTGGAAGGCTAGTAGAACTTCGAACAGTGATTCTTATGTTGAAATATGGTTAAAAAGTTACCGTCCAGTTTTCAGAAATTTGCTGTCAAAATCCCTGTTTCCATGACAAAACTCGACTCGTCAAGCAACAAGGAAGGGAGAGGGGGAGCCGAGCCTAACCCGAACAACAGCGCGAGCTCCGTTTCGCTTCTGTACAGCTTACCCAAAAAGCTGAAAAAGCGCGTTCGGATCAAAATTGTATTTCACTGCAGCTAGAAGAGATCCAACAATCTCATTCTATCAAAATTGTGGACTTTCATCTTTATGTCAAAGTATCAGTGAAGTGGATGGGAAGCCTTGGTAACTATTTGTGTAAGTGATTAATTTATTTGCATGTTTCAGGCACTGTACCGAAAGGCAAATAAAACTAGGCTGTCACGATTCTTGAAACCTGGAGTCAACATTTCAGAAGAAGGACATTTATGAGGCTCCTGGCATTGAAAACAAAGCTTCCCCTCAAACTCATCTAAGCAGCATGCCAGCATGCTGCAAGGAAACTCGGAATGAAAGGCCTCAAAAAGTATTTGCCTATTTTACAAGGCAATACATTTTGAGAAAAACTGCAGAAGAGCTATCAGTGTTCGGAGGGAATATTACAAGTGGTCTGGAGAGCATCAACCGCAGACTAAACTCCTTCTTTAACAGTGCTCATCCACAGGGCCGGACTGGAGGCATTTGGCCCCGTCGGGAAGGTTGCCCAGAAGTTAATGCCCCGCAGAGGTGCTAAGCAGAAGAGGAACTTAGTTCACTATTGCAGGTAAAAGGATTTGGACGATAGAAGCATCTATGTCAGTCACACAGCCCCGTCCACGGGCCATGAACGCCAACATGCCGCAAGCGATGACGGATCCACATTCTGGCCCACGTCTTGTCCATAGCGGCTCAGCCGTGGACTGGCCAAAGCAAGAGCCACGCTTGGCTTACGTTCCACGTCTACGCGTGCCGCGATCCGAAGGCGAGACCCGATCGCGTCCGGATCTCGGAAGGGCATCTTAGGCTTGCAGGGAAACGCACTGCTCAGCAGGAAACGACACATGCGTTCTCACCGAAAACGAAGCCACCTAGGCCCCGTCGGACGCCGATTGAGGCAAAGGTTGGGTCTATATGATGTCTTTCTACCCCTCCCGTATCGGGAGGGGTGTATGTATGAATGATATACAAGGCCCGGCATTGTCAGGCCGAAGTGAATGGGACTCATTACTGTTGCGGATCTCAGGGCACGTCCTATGAACGGTTAGCACGTCTTGGGGCAAAGGCCGGGTTAGTCACCCCGTCACATGGCTAAGGCCAGCCATTGCAAAGGGGATGTCTGTGCACGAACTCCAACCACTACTATGTAATCGGATGGTTACACTCACTACTCGCCTCCCTAGAGTGCCGGAAGATTCACGACTGACATAGGGCC